AACAGGAAAATACATGTCTTTAGGTCATATTTGAAACTAAACACTTATTTTTCAATCCTTCCCGACTTTTAGATGAACAAGAAGTCCTACACAATCTATTGTTTGTCAATTGGACCTGGTGTCTTAATGTATTGCCGATCTTGTGGAGAAATCCATTCCTCTTATGTCAACAACCAGAGAATCGAGTCAAGCTAGTGAATACATTTGTCTCTTGTCTCTCTGATCACGACAAAGCATTTCTCACAAGTCGTAATCCGGACATTGAGATTCGACCCGAACCAGTTACGAAATACGCCAACTACATTAACGTTCTCGAGGAAAAGAACATCATCGAATCAGTGAATAGTTGGTATGAGCAATTGCCAAAACACTCCAAAAAGGAAAAGAAAGCTGTTTCGGGAACAGAAGGTTGTGAAACCGCCGCTGTTGAAGGAGAGGGCGAGACCGAGACGGAGACGGAGACCGATACTGAAAATGAGAACCGACGAGAGAATGAGAGGAAATACGAAGCGACGGTGGTCAGTGCAATATTATTTAAGATGTTTGTCGAACGCAGTAAACATATCAAATGGTTCAATCTTGATTGTGATTTGATCAATGCTAAATGGTATGACGGGACAATCGTTCATCAAGACTACATGGCAGATAAAATTTTGAAATCGGTCGCAATGCATCAACAAAGTCTTGAACGACTCGCGATTGTATTCAACAGTGGAGGTACACCAGCTGATACAACTGAACTCGCGAAATTGGTGGTCGAATGCATCAAAGTCCAAGGAAGATTCTTACGAGATTTTGTTATTGAGAATGCGGGTGGTGAGGAATTTGCAGAAATGCATTATGCACTAAAACCTCGTGTCAACTCATTAAAACGTGTTGGATACACACAATGCGATTTCGCCAAATTCCCATGGACTGTTGGAATAGAGATCCTGTCGCAGGTTGAAGAATTATACTTAATCGCTTGTACAAACCTTCGTGATAGTCAATTGAAACAACTAGAAGGTCCGATGGAGAAACCATTCCCTGAGTTTTATTATTATGTCAAAAAAGGCCTTGAATAATAGATTGATCCTTAATACGCATACATCTCTTTAATTAATTGGATATTTTTGATTCAAAAAGCTTATATAATTCTTTGGTTTTTGGCTAATGGTTTGCAAGAGTAATAATTATCAATGCATGGGGTTAGACTTTTCTTTTTTGTGCTTTTTAACTACATTTTCTTGTTCATATTTTTTTTGGTGTTATTTCTTTTAAAACATGAATGGATAAATGAGTTATTATTAGATTTCGATATTTACATTGTACATTGTAACATACACACACACTTTATATTCTGATGAAATCCATTATCAATTATGATGGCAGACATTCAAAGATCAATAAATACTTCGTATGTTCGTTCATAATTTATCTTAAATCTTAGTTTTTTAAGTCGTACATAACGCCCGACGCCCCATGATATTGAAAGGATCAGGAAAAGATCGACATCGCAAAAAAGAACCGATAAAACAATTCGTTACCTGCACTAATGTGCCTTGCACATTTACATAGCTCCTCGGTTACAACTAAATTTTCCTTGGAAGAAAATGGAAGCGGGGTGCTACATCAAAAGTACTTGTGAACGCAGGTTTGTATAACAAAATTGCTCGTTTCTGGTTACGTACTCTTAATTGAAACAGAAAAAACAAGCGATGAATGTCTTCCGAATAAATAATCAAAGTTCATAAAGAACTTTATTATTAAACAAGAATTGATCCCAAATTTGAAAATGCTAATAAAATGTTCAGGTCCAGCATAGCAAAAAAAAACATCATCTTTTATAGCCTTTCAATAAATCAATTATCCGACAAACTAATTATGAATTCCTCGAGTATTTTCACTCGTCGAGACACCTTTACCACGTGTCTCGTTTATCATGGCTAAAAATTTAATCAAATATGTCAAGTTTTTTTTTGGAAAAAAAAAAAATACATAAACATTAAATCAATAATAAAGATACATACTTCGATGAGTCCTGCCTGCTGGTCTATCATGACCTTTACGTGAATTATGGATAATTCCTTTTTCGCAAATTTGTGCGACTACTTCTTCAGGTTTGCTTGTTCCAAAACATGTTTCGAGTTGTTGGTGAGATGGTCGTACAGCCAGTCCTTCGTTGCCACCGTTGACCGTCTCGTATACTTCGAAACTTTGGACACAATCAACGAGGGGGATAGATTTATCTTTTCGCCATTTCAATACCTAGAATTTTAAATTATCTTTTGTTATTTATTTTCAAATGGCCAAAAAAGATAAGCTAGTAACAATCGTTGAAACTTGAAACTTGCTGTCTCAGGATTTCCAAATACAAAGAATTCTCCACGTTGATCTAAGCTTTTGTAGATAATACGTGTGTCGTCTTGAGAAATTGCCATTTTTTTATTAACTGATTTTTGTTAAATTATTTTGCTCGCAAATTGCTTCCAAACATGAAATCCTGGGTTTTATATAGATTAAAGATCGGTTACTTAATCTTTACGTCATCTCAATTTTCGCACCGATTTTTATGATATTCATTTTGATCTAGAAAATCTGGGAAAGTAAGTTTAATTTGTTAGTCTGACATCATTTTGACAGTTTCCGACAATTTTACATTTAAGAATTTCAACGAAGTGACGCTATCAATTTTTGAGAATATAATCGTCTCAAACCGAACCGATAGAAATAAAATTCAATATATTGCACACATGCGCAATAGACATGTACAGTCGCATCTCTGCTATAAAACACCAAAAAGTGTAGGTATCTGTATCCTGGATAAGTGCGACCGTGCAGGAAAAGTCTATGATGACCATCATCATAGATTCTACACGTCCCTATAACAAAATGCCGAAAAGAATAGACGTTTAAAATTTCGTTGGTTGTTTTTTATGTGAATCTAATTAAAAAACTTTTTTGAAAACATGAAACGGGATATTATTTACGGTATTTGCTTGGAAAAAAAGAAATTGTGTCATTTATGATATTTCTTCATAGATGCACATTAATTTTCCTATCCTTGGTATGCCATTTATTTATTCTTGTTCTTTGTTTCTTTCCTAGCATAAATGAGCATGACCTATCGCAAGAAACAAACAACAGTAAAAACCACCAACTATTATCTTTATTTGAAAAAAGATCGATTGCATCTGAACTCGTGTCATGCACTGGCCTCATTATCGATGATTTTATTCTACTGTTTTAATTAAATTCATTGAGTACAATCATAGGATACAGTTGTCTTGTCTTTTCAAACCTTAAATTTGTTACATTCATAAGATCTCCGGAAAGATGACGAAAAATACAATCGCCGGAAACAATAAGAACGAATGACGTAACGTGCTGTGTATGAGCTTAATTAATTTTGGGATTGTGGCGTAATATCCCGAATAAGTATCCCCAATTATACTTGTTTTTCAAGAGTTAACGTTAATGAAAAATCCATCATCGAGATTTAAGTTGTCGAAATAACAAAAAAAAAACGAGCTAGAAGTAGAGGAGAACCGTTAGAAACCTGATCTTGTAAAGCATTTCGACATAATGATAACGTCAATAGTTATAAACTTCCTCGGGAATGCTTACACCATTTCTATTATAAGGGGCTTGATGAGTGCCAGCTTACATTATTCCCGAGGTGTGATTGGCTAGGAAAAAAGAAAAGTCAGATGCCTTTTTTTTTAAAATAATCATTTGTTGATGTGATCAAATAAAGCTGAAGAGTCGAAAGAAAGATTAAATCTTCTACCACTATGTATACGAAACATTGTATGAATGCTTTGCATAATCGCAACAATATCGCATTTCGAACCTATTGATTATTCGTGCATGCATGAATGAACAACTTGTGATTCTGATATTATAACTTTCAGGCCGTTTCTAGTCGTATGTTTTAGCAAACCAACTAACTAAAAAAACACTTGTAATTACCGGTGACCATAATTATCGATTAACGCGTGAAATAGATAGACTTACGTCAACCCCGTAACATTCCTCTTTCCTGCTTTAGGTCTGAACAAAGGAGCCTTTTTAAGAATAGAATAATTTCGGTCCGAATATTTACTATACAAATGTATGCTTTATGCAACGTTCTAGCTTTGGACGAATTGTTTGATTCAGCAAATCAACTTTGGAAAATTCGGGTTTTAATGCTAAATTTTCCCAACAATTACGCATTTTCAGTTTCTAATTCTAATAATGTCTTCATTAACGTTAACTTTTTAAAAAAAACCGACGATCGAATTTCCATTCTAAATATTTTCGTTTTGTTATATTATCCCTGTAATGGTCACACAACGCGCAAACATCGTCTCCCGTATTAAGGGTCGTTGTGCAAAAGACTGCATACACTTGAAAAATGGTTTGGGTAACTTACCAGTTTTTTAAATTCGACCACTTGTCACTTGGTGACAGACTCGTGTATCACTAATTATAAAAAAAAGTAAATAAAAAAGAATAACGATAGTCATAGCAATTTTCGGTTACAGCTTTTTTTATGCTCTCGACAGGAAAAAAGATAACTCTTTATCTTTCAACTACCATAAGATTCTTATTTAAATTCTTATATAAAAGATAAAAAAAAGTAGAAATTTTGTAAAGAAACCATTTGTATATAAGAACAATAAATGGATTATAAAGAAAGGTGAGAGAGTAAGGGAAAGAAGAGATTCAGGACAGCGCTATTCTTGAGTATTAGCTGCCACATACCTTATTGAAACAATTTCGTTTATCCTACCTTTAAAGACTCGCTCAGTTTGAGGACATTCTAAGTTCAAAAGACTTGATTAATGACCCAATAATAGACTTGTACAAATTTCGACACTTATGTTTTAGAGGTGAGTTGCTTTTTCGTGGTAAAAGTTGGTTTGTTTATTTTGGTTTATGGCGTAAAAAAGCAAGTTTCGTGTACAATTGTTTCCTTTTGTATATGGGGGGTTTTTTTTTGAAATTCTGCAGGCATTCCTGATAAACCAGGCATAAGACAAAAGAGTTGGAAGGTAAATTTTTGTATTTCAGTTTGGAGAAACGGCTAAACAAAAATAGGGTGGCTTGTATTTCGTGGATCTTATCCCTTTAAAGAAATCTTAAATATTAATAATATCTATTACAGGTATTACTAGGATATCTACCTACCGATAAAAGAAAATGGCAGAAAACTTTATCGGAAAATAGATCGACATATTATGTAAGTGTATTATGTGTATGTAAGCATTATTCTCAACCGTTTAATAACTCGTTTGTGACATTACTCCATAAAAAGAGCTTCGTCAGGGATTTGCTGGCAGAACCCAGCGAAGAAGAATTATCAGGGGGACAGAATAGTGATCACGTAAATGCTTAATTCTCATTTTGAGTTGAGAGGAAATCAATCGATCAATATTTTTAATAACCCATCTAAAAATTCTTGAATTGTAATAACCATGATAATTACAGCCACTAAATCCCGCACCAAATTCCAAATGGGCGGAATATTTCGCCGACAACATAATTCTTGAACAGATCGATAAAGATGTTTGTCGAACATTACCAGATTTTGCATTTTTTCAACAACCCGTGCCACAAAGTCCATTGAGTCCGTTGAGTCCGCGTCTCTCTCATTTGGAACTGATTAAAAAAAACGATGGTGCATTCTCTTCGATACTTGAACAATTAGAGAATGGCTGGAATGATGACAATAATATTAGTAATCAAGATATTGATGGATTCGTATCGCTGGAAGCATCCATAGAATCATTACCTCCTCCATTGTCACCTTTATCACCGGTGACTAACACGTCTACCACAGCACCAACATCAAGGCGAACATCTACAAGCAGCATGAAACAACCGATAGATCTCGATTCTGCTTCATACGCTAATCCAATCACGCCTATTCGGTCACGACGCTCAATATTCAGGCGTGTGCAACATCTGAATAAGGATTTCTTTCGACGTGAAAATCGTCCTGTTTCACCTACGCTAGGTCAAAAGTCTGGAGCTGCTAATGCAGATAATGGCGCTCAAGATGATGAAAATCAGATCGATTTACATTGGGAAGCGATAGAACGTATTCTCTTTATATATGCAAAGTTGAATCCTGGTATTGGTTATGTACAGGGAATGAACGAGATTCTGGGCCCTATTTATTACACAATGGCTAATGATGGCGACGAGGAAGGAAGAGGTAATGATTAGTAGTTTTGATTTTTTCTTGAAGCGTACAATCGTAAATAACCATTATTCTGATTCTTTGACAATTCAATGATTAGCTCATGCCGAAGCCGATTCTTTCTTCGTATTCACATCACTAATGGCTGACATTCGCGACCACTTTGTACGAAGTCTCGACCACGATGACACAACAGGTATTGGAGCGACAATGACAAAAATGAATCGACGATTACGCGCATTTGCTTTTGACCTATGGGAAGATTTGGAACAAAAATCATTGCATCCACCTTATTACTCGTTCCGTTGGTTGACTGTGATGTGTGCTCAAGAATTCGCTCTCCCTGATGTGATTCGTGTTTGGGATTCGGTGTTCGCGGATCATGATGCAGACGAAGGGTCGTCATCAAATCGATTTGAATTTTTGATTGATTTTTGTTGTGCGATGATAATGTAAGGGTTTGTGTGTCTACTTTCCTATATTATGCTTGCTTGCTTGCTTTTATACGATTAATTGTTTTTTAATCCTATGATTGAAATGTTAAAGCTATCACATAATATATTAATAATTTCTATATTAGCGAATAGTTGTTAGGTAAAGCTAACTTAAAAAATTGATATTTGTGATTATCATTAGATGTGTTAAAGATGAACTTTTAAAAGGTGCCTTCGAGGACAATATTAAACTTTTGCAGGTAAGTTTTTGACAATGAGTATAAAAACGAATGATTTAATTTTAAAGGAGGCGAAGAAATGATATTTTCAACTTTTTCCAATATGCTGAATGCGTGTGTTTGTGTATATTTGGATAAAACATTTAAATATTAACAAATGATTCGTCCTAACTATCGGTTACTTTCTCTGTGCTTACTGTCGTTGAAACATTCAAAAAGATGCTAATTTAAAAAATCATATGATCGATTTCAGCATTATCCTATACAAGATCCAGGAATAGTTCTACAGAAAGCATATCAATTACGTGAGTCACGTCTACTCGCAAAATTAAATGGTAATGGAATCGATTACTCGTCATCGGATGTAGAATACGGACCGGATGGCGTGCTTGAGGAAGAAGAACCACGCCGCGGAAGTAGTGGCCGAATGTGGCTACAATCTAACGGTCTGATATTCTCTAATGGATATACGAAAAAACGATCTGATTCGTTGTCTCTATCGTCTTCGACATCATCATCGTCAGATCTTACGAGTTCAAGTGTTCGGAGTCGCAATAATAATTATGATAATTATTATAATAACGGTACTGCACATAATACTACTGGCAATCATCATCAGCCTCATCCACAACGAAACAGCCTGATAACCAACACCATCATCAACTCCACCTCAATTTTTAGACGGCCATTACCATTCAAGTCGGCGCAGCAGCAGCAGCAGCGGCAGCAGCAGCAACAGCAGCAGTCGTCCTCCTTCTCCTCCGTTTCATCAACAACTTCGTCACCATCTTTTTGGCACTCCTCTCCATCACCAAGCTCAAGCGCAGCTTCTTCCGGCTCCAACAAATCCTTTTATGGCGATGGTTCGCGCGATTCTCCTCCGTTGATTCCGGGTTTGGCGCAGACGCGGATGATACAGGTTGCTGGTCAGACCAAAGCCCAAGGATTAGCATTGTTCAATAAAATGAAAGATGTGGTTGCCAATAGATCGGCTACGACAACATCACAACTAAAGAAGGCGACGACCATGTCTGCATTAATAACAATTAATAAGAATAATCTTGCTACTTCTACGCTATCATCCAAATCACAATTCCGTGGTAATGGTATAAATGGAGGTAACAATTTCCCAAAAACTAATAATCTGAACAGCATTAAGGCAAAGTAATAAAAAAGAATATTTTGCTATTATGGAAAATAACAATAATAGACAATTATCGGAAAGTTAACTTGGCGGCGGACACAAGTTAAAGGTTATGACGTTGTTAGTCGAGGGTTTTGTTCATGTGATCGCTCATAATTATTGAAAAAGAGGTTTAATGCGATTACTTGAACTAAACTTTTTTTTTATGATCTATCATCGTCATGTGAGATTTGGAACGTGAGTATTTTCTCGTTCGGTGATTTTCATCTTATTGAAATAATCAGATTGCTTTACTCTAATCGGATTATCGATATATAATTTAATGGGAATAGAGGTGCTGTACTAGAGATAATTATTTTTTATTTCATTAATTCTCTTATACATATATTCATCATATTTTCATGTATACTATTTTTTATAATACTCATTTTTAAACACATACATACACGCATTCGTAATATACGGTCACGGGATCATCATCAACTTCACTTTTTTTATTTAGAAGCATATATAGATAATAATAATAATAATAATAATAACGATAATGATAATGATAATAGTAATGATAACAGTAATTTTTTTGAAGCAATAAATAACGATAGTTATTGTTTTAATACTTGAATATTACGGCGATCTATCTATTATAAGTTCTTATTGAGGATGGAGATGATGTGTGGGTATTTTGAGGGCCGATAATAGGAAAGCAAGGAGCAACAAGATGCATAGTGGTTCAAGCTGAGTGAACGGTATAACTTTTGTGCGTGTACGAGAGAATGGAATAAACAATAAAAATCGCGTTGGATCGTGTCGAAATCAAAAGTTCATGATTCTCTTTAGTATGTGCGGATAATATCAGGAACATATACATGTATATCTATATCTCTCGGGTAAGAAAATTAATGTATTTAAATATTTAGTAAAAAAGTGTGTTCGATTCTACAATGCAAAGAGAATACGATAGGTTTCAGAATTTTGCAAAGGTGGTCGGCATATTACAACGATCAAATTCAAAAATGACACGAGAATATATAGATCTATTCTTTGTATCAAATCGTAAATTAATATTTATAGGACAATAATCATTAGTTTTCTCGAGTCAGGAAAGCATGTAGGTTTCTTCGATATCAGATATTCTCATTGGGAGATGTTTTTGTTTATTCGGTACGTGCAATATTATTTAAGATGCTCGTTATATTTTATGGAAGAAAGCTTTCTTGGAAATATCAAATAACTTGTACCTTGTGTTTTATCACCACTTTATCTAGTTGGCCAATGATCTCGTGAATACAAAATTCATTAAAGAATAGTCATCCTATTCTTTCATTGATTCTTTAGGTTTTCCTAACGATTATTTGCCGTATTAGTTGTCATGATGTTGTTATTACCACCTTGGTGAACTTGAACTAATTTTTTTTGGGTTAAATAATTAACGTTAGATAATTTAAGAATAAATATAGAAGTAATTAATTTGATTTTCTTATCTTTATGCATAAATCAATCTGATGAAAATTTCAATTCAATTAGGTATTACCAAAATCACATTGTAGGAAAAAGAAATGCTTTTGGACGACTTCATTTTCTCTTTTTACATGGAATCACTGCCAGTAATTTAGTCGGCCGGGTTCAAAAAGGGTTACGCTGAGGATCTGTGATTGTGTATCTACGCGGGTGATATTGTGTGCAACATAATTTTTGTATATACTGGTGCATAAATATTTTTAACAATTGCTCGGGTTATTTCTGCTCTTCTTTTCTTCCAAATCAAAATACAAAAACGAATATAAAATATACTCCAATAGGAGCAGAAAGCAATACAAAAGAACATGGACAATCATTCTTTACCACCAAATTCAAGATGCAATGACAATACTTCCCCGCCACCTATAAATCAAAATGATCGAAAAAGAAAGCATCATCCATTTCATTTCCCATTACTTAACTTTGAAAAATTCTTTTCGGAAGAAGTTGAGTTTTCATTACCAGCCTCTTTCATGATCAAAGAAAGGCAAAATGAACCTTGTCAAAACGTGAACATGACGCTTGACAAAGTTCCAGATGACGAAAACTCTACCTCATACTCTTCGACCTTTAGCAACAAAAAGACAAAACATTCTAATACCGACACTACAATAAATACGAAACTAAAACAAAAAAAATCTTCCCCAAATGCTCGCACACGTGTGAGAAAATCCCGTAAGAGTTCGCGCACATTGCTAAAGTTTGGGGAACAACCAATTTCCTTATTGCCAGAGGTAAATTATGAGAATTATAACAACTATAACCATGATATAGTTAATACTCCATTATTTACCGAGAAAATGTCGACATCTTCTGTTTTTGTTGATGGATCGATAGAAATGGAGACGACACAAGCGTTTGATGAAAAATTCTTAGAAAACTGTTTTTCGTGAGTTTCGTTTACACACACACACATATATATATGCATTTATATAAATTTATTAATTATTTGGATTTTTTAAATATAGAGCTCACGTATCAACCTTGCTTTTAGCCGCTGAATACTTAGACGAGCGTTAACATCATCAATAATACATTCAACAAATAATTATTCTATTTTAAGGTGCTAAAAATCAAGACCTTTGAGGTTTTCTTATTTTTTGCAGTGTGTTACGCCGATCATAAATCTTATGCCTCGGAAAACATTTCATTTGAAAATAAACCACGTGTTAATACGTGGTAAATAGAAAAATAATCGGAACTAATCAAATTATTTCAAGATTTAATAAGTTAAAGCAACACAAATACATGTAGATAATTTTCAACGTTATCTAATAAAATAATAGAAACAAGTCAAATTCATATAAAGTGCAGTCGATTATTATATATTAATCGTGAATTCTTATTCAGTTGACTATTACGAAAAGGTGCAAGAGAGCAAAAGAAAAAAATAATTGGAAATAGGCGAAAATTGTTGAATAAGAGGACGATAATAAAGAGAGGAAGAGCAAGTGATGATAATGAAATATTAGATTTAATATTTTTTCCCCGAATCCAGACTAAAAAATGAATTAAACAATGGACTTCCTTTTAGAAACAAGAATATTATAGAGGTATATGACTATGAATACGCAAAGGAGGAGTTTGAAATCAAGAGTTGGGTATCCGTGAAATCAATATTAAATATTATACTATTAAAGTTACTTAGCGATATCAAGTCAAAATATTAATAGTTGCTATCATTTAACCTTGACATTGACCAGGAAAATAACGTTTTTCGATTGTGTGGCAAATTTTGTGGAATATTTGATACATTTATACAGTCGCACCCCCCCCCCCCCCCCAGTGCGCATTTTCTAAATTCATACCCTTCATATACACATACCCTCCCTATATGCACACATGGTCCGGTCTAACCTCTCTAAGTCTGGTCTAATAGTGTGGCATGACTGTACATAGATAACCAATTTGAATTTTCTTATAGTCTTTAGTACATAGCTACAATGCAATATAAGAAAAAAAAACTACTTTTGATAATCAC